CAGGGAAGCCTGGTATGCTGCAGTCCATGGGGTCACAAAGAGTCGGACACAACTGAGCAACTGAACTGAACTGAACTGAACTGAACTGATGGCCAGTGCTTTTCTTAAGCTTCCACCTGTACTACCTTATTTAATCCTCACGATAATACCTTGAGTTCAGTATTATTATCATCATTTCCATTTTTAACTTTGAGGAAACTGATAGAATGCTTAGCTGATAAGTTCAAAGTCACAGAGTTAGCAAGTGGCAGAGCCAAGATTTGCACCCCAGGAGTCTGGTTCCAGTGTTCATACTTCCTCCAGATGGGATTATATCTTCACTAGCAGTCATACTTAGAATATTTTATTTGAATCAATAAAACTGTGTTACAATACTTGGGATATCTCTCCATATAAGTGTCCTCCTCAAGTTGTATGCTCTAAACTCATCATCCAAAAAATTTGTCCAAGCTCTTTCCAAGAACCAATCCTTGACTTTTGTGACACCATTTTTTTGGTTCCCCCTCATCTTTCCAAATATATGTTTGCCATGTCTTTAAATGATTGCATCTTCTCTACCCACATCTTAAATGTTTAGATTCCCCAAGTTTCAATCTTTGTTCTTTTTCTTCTCATGCTATACTCTTTCTGTATTACCACACCAATGCAAAGAACACCCACAGTTATTTAGAATATGTTGATGACTTCCAAATTAATTTTTTTTCCTCTAGCCTTATTCTTCCCCTAAGTCCAGTTACCTCCTGGATACATCCACCAAAAAACCACTCAGGTACCTCAAGCTCTACCATTTCAAAGCCGAATTTCATTTCCATCCATATGCATACACACATGCATACAACATGCATTCAATACATACACACTTGGGCTATGGAGGTGGACAGACAGAAATCTGAATCATGATTCTGAAAAGAGAAACAGCTTTGAGAAAGTTAGTTAACCTCTCCAAGCTTCAATTTTTTCAACTCTTAAACAAGGATACTATCATTCTCCTCAGAATAATCGTTAGGATTAAAATAGATGAGAAATACATAAATTACCTTGTCTATCAGGCCCAAAGAAACTAAACCTAATTAATACCAATTACATTATTGTCTATATAATACTACTTGTTAATATACCAGCTTTACTATGTTGCTAATGGAATTACCATCATCTGGTTTCCCAAACCAGAAACGTCTGTGTCATTTTCAACAGCTTCCTTTTTCTTGTCCGTCTCATGAAATCACCCCAGTCCTCTCCCAGCCATGCCTCTCGAAATTGGCCTTTTTCTACCTCACAATTTACACTTCTTACAACTGAACTAAGTACAACAGCCTCCTAATGGGCTTTGAGGTAACATTTCCTACCCCTTCAGTTTATTCTCCTCATGACCCTTAGATCTATATTCTGAGGGGGCAAAGCTCAGGTCAAAAATTTGTTCATTCATTCACTGAAGACAAATGCACACCATCTCCCCGCCATGAGCCAGACACAACTGTTTTTATGTTACATCAAAACTGTCTCACCTGCTTCCAAACTTTTTGTGGGAGGAAGCCCTGATTTGTAATGTTTCCACTTCTGACAGCAAATACTATAGCTCTCACGGTGGCTAGTTACCAGCGTGACATCGACAGCACACAAAATTCCTGACAGGTGAACATCCCACCCTGTGATCCAGAACAGGTTGGTTCTGGCACGCCGCTTCCCATAATCCACCTGTTTCCTCGCTCAGGCTCCAAGCTCCAGGTTTGCCAGCCGCTGAGGCTCTGTGATAATCCTGCTCTCACACCCATGTACCTCTCTCTGCCAGTCACAGTGTACCTGCCAGGTCCCCACACACACACTTCAGCTGGTTTTCCTCTGTTCTTCTTGAATTAATTAAGAAAAAACCAAAAGTCATCTTGGATGCCTTGCCTGACTCCCCCAAGAAGTCTCAGCTATTCACCTGTCTCACATTTTCTTTAGCACTAGGGCATGACACCAGCACGTAGTATTATAATTCGTTTGTATGTGTACGTTCAGTTTGTATGTAAGTTGTGTGTGAAGCCATAGCACCCGGCCTGGCACACAGTGGGGAGTTCAGTGAATACCGAACTGAGTGATTGATTTGAAAAACTAAATCCTAAAACAGCTGGCTTTCTCATCAAACCTGCAAAGTACATTTTCAGTCCAATTTAGCCTTTTAAAATGACATGCTCTGATGAAATATAAAATGGTAAAGACAATAAAATATGAAACATTACTGAATATGTCCAAAAACAGGTATGTATTACCACTGCCGAGCTGCCTAGTAATGTAGAAAAATGATTTTTTGTTTATTTTTTGGAGAAATTTTTCTGCATATTTCTTTATTCTTTTTTTTTAATTGGAAGATAATTGCTTTACAATATTGTGTTGGCTTCTGCTGTCCAACAATGTGAATCAGCTATAAGTATACATATATCTCCTCCCTCTTGCACTTAATAGTTTGTGAATTTTATTTTATTTTATTTTATTGACTGGATCTTTTGGGTTCAAAGTTTGAGTACAAGTATTCAGAGTCATCTTGCTATGGAGCTCACTGCTGTGATAAAGATAAGCTGAGTGCTACCTTCTCTAAACTATTGATTTCTCCTGGGTACCTGAATTCACAACTTTTCCTTTGTAAAACATAGCCATAGCTAGATTTACCAACAATATAAATTTATCAAAAATTGGGAAACTGTTACCAGTAATATAAATTATGCTGTTCAACGCTGAAATCCTGTGACTCCAAAAGACCAGGCTAGGAGGCTGAACTGCAGTGCCTGCCTCTGCCCTCCCCACCCCTCTATTACACAGACTCACTTAATAAGCGGTTTCCCAGAGGAAAGATAAGGTGCAGATGATTACTTTGTCTAGAGCCGTGAGTAGTTTGGATCTGTATGCACATCAGAGAAGGCAGAGCAGCCAAGTGCAGGAGCCTCCCAGGGGAAAGAGGTGTCACCAACAGAAACAGCACCAACTTAGCACTTTTCAGTACTCATCGAATTCCACGATGATGCCATTTAGCTTCTACATTTGTAAATCAATCAATCAATGCCAAAGTGAATCTGTTTTTCAACTTTGGCAAATTTGTATTCTTTCCGATATATTAGAGCCAAAGTGGGGGAAAAAAAAAAATGGTTGTTTTCTAGTCCTTTAGTAAATGTGTGTTTTCCTTGGAAATTTTCACATAAATTTGAGGTCGGTAATTTTAGGTTTGTTTTTTCACAAACATACTGTCACAAATGGTGTCTTGTTTGCTTGCCTTTAACATTTAATCAGCTGCTTTAATTAACTGTCCCAGGTCTCTCTAAAACGAAGTCCTGAATCTTCTAGTCAACTGTGCTGTATCATATGCTGTTGTTATCTTTTCCACCCGATTTTTACCACAAGTTGTTTAAAAACTATGATCTCTTTGAGGGTGGAAAAAATGAAGTGCAGTTGAAAAGGCAGCTACTCTGAAAGATAAACAGAGCAATATTACTTATCAGAATGGATACAATTTTTACTTGCTTAATGGGTACAATATATAGCCTTGCAATATATACACAATGAGAAAAAAAGCTTTATAACATATCAACTATGCCATATTATTTCAGGCATAACTGTATAGGATACGTATCTAGGCCTGAGAGTGTAGATAACAAAATATAAGTGCTTTGCCTGTCTAAACATGTTAAATAAACGAGCATTTGCTATCGCATTCCAATACATTAGAAGATGTACTTGCATAGTTAATTTTCTTTTTAATGCACCACACATGATCATTTGAAGCGCTGAGCCAGAGTCTATCTTAGTGTTTGAAGAAAGGGTTCTTTTCATTTAAACAAATCTTTATTTAAATAAGCCTTTTTGAAAAGGATCTTTGGTGTATCTTCTTTTCAGGAAGTTCAGTCAGGGTAAAGGGAGATAAAGAAGCTGTATTATAAGAAATATTATAAAAGTAAAGATCACTCAGCATCCGCCCCTCCAAAAAAAAAAATGGAAGCAGACTTATGCAGAGAACAAAATGAACTGGAATTGCCTTTAAACTTTCTAAATTTTAGGAACTTTGTTTACTTGCTTTGTAGTTTTAGGTATCATTTATATATATATACCAATATAAGTATCTGATATATCAGTGTCTGGGAAAGAGAGAAAAAGAGGAGTAAGGTGCAGGAAGAGTAACTTCAAAGGCTCACTTGGAATACATTTTGAGGTTGGATCCCTACAGTGCATGTTCTTAGGCAGTTTATACCATGCAATAGCATGGTTAATGATTAAGTCAAGCACCAGAAGGCAAAAAGTTGTCAATTTTTGACAAAACTCTATACAGATTATGTCTATATTTGGTCCTTAGTCTTCTCCTACTGTTGGTCACTGAACAGTACATTTAATGCAAGAAATATAATTTTCCACATAGGAGGTATGAAAATTCATAAAAGGAAACCTCACTAAAATGGAGTAGGGAAGTCAGATGCGGGAGCTGGCAAGTACCACTTGACTTCAATACAGAGCCCAACAGGAAGAGATGGTCTTTGTATCTCCATCAGGAAGTGACACTGTTGAATGCCACTCAGCTGGAGGAAGAAAGCATTTCTCATCACCTGACAACAGCTCAGCCAATGAAAGTCTGTAACAACTCAGTCAATGAAAAGCCACTATATTTCAAACTTCCAGTTTCCGATGGACTTCCAGTGGACTTTTGGTTTATCATAGCTCTCCCAACTTCCCCTTCTCTATAAAAAGTTTCCTCTCTTTTGTTTTACCAGACTTTCATGTGGTTCGCCATGGTTGCCTGTCCCTAATTGCAGTCCTTTGTTATTATAAACCCGTGTCGCTGGTACAATAACTGGCTGTTTTATTGTTTTAAGTGAACGAAGGGAAGAGGAGGGCAGCTGTTGTCTTGATCCAACACCCCACCCAGTAGAAAGTGATGTGAAAAACATGAGAAGGTGCTATTGACGTCAATCCAATGTACAGCAGGCTGGAGTATTCTATGTCAATTCTATCTTTCTCTTCCTTTTTTCTCTTAATAGGGGGTCAGCTTTGGTGCACGACTACGAAGGCCATCTCTGAGGGTGAAGAGCTAATTGCCTTTGTGGTGGATTTTGACTCCAGGCTGCAAGCTGCCAGTCAGATGACTCTTACAGAAGGGATGTACCCGGCGCGTCTGCTGGATTCAATTCAGCTGCTTCCTCAGCAAGCTGCCATGGCTTCTATTTTGCCCACAGCTATTGTCAATAGTAAGTGCTGAATGCAGGAGCCCAGGCAATAGCTTTGTAGTGGTGATGGGTATTTAGGGGAGAGAAAAAAATAATGCCTACTGACAGGCAACCAGAGTTTTTTCCTTCATTGCTGTGATTTTATTTGCTCTTCTCTCCACCTTTAACTCTCTGTGTACGTGTGTGTGTGCATGAGATCACTTCTTATGGGAATATAAAAAGAACTTAAATTCATTCATTTCACGGTGGATTCCTGAATGTCACAAACAAAAATCTGATATTCTAAACTAAGCAATGTTCAAGGCTATTTAGCTATAAGAAGCCCAATATCTTTCACTGATGCCCCTATGGTAAAATAATTTTGGTATTAAGAGTTAAAACATAAGAAAAAGAAAACAAAATCAAATTTGATTAGATATACTAATGAAGGGAAAATGTAGGCTAAATAAGACACCATCTAATATAAAAAATTAAAAAGAGAAAGAAAAATACTTCTTAGAGTACTTTATATGCAAAATTTTAAAATGTGCCCTAGAAAATCTGTCTTTGTGATTATATTTTGTTAAAAGGACTGTTGAACTTAGTTTGTATTTCTTGAACACACAGTGACCTGATATGACATAAAATCAGTGCTTCAGGAGTCCCAAGATCTGAGCTCTAGAGTCCACTCTGCTTTTATCTGGCTCTGAGAGAGAACATGAGTACGAGTTACATCTTAATAGGAGAAAAGAATCTGAAGCCAGTAGGCAAGTGAAATATTGCCTTGAGTCAAAAATGTCCTTGAAAACGCCCGAGACTTTGAATGATGCAGAAAATTCTAGAGGCTACAGCTATGTCTCAATACTGTATATATTTTTGTGTGTATATATATTCAACAGTAATTATGTTCTTGCTGTAACTGCATCCTCCAGAATAAAGAATTTCTCATGTGTATCTGGAATTATTCTGCATACAACCACTGGATTCAGTGCACCCAACCCAAGTATTTTTAGATTCCCTTAGTGTAAATGTAGTTATCTTCTTTGCTGGACCTTTACTTTGGATAGTGAGGAACTCGACGTAACTTGAATTTGAGACCAAATCATTTTGTTACCAGCTATCCTGTACATACATGCTAAGTCACTTCAGTCGCGACCCTATGAACTATAGCCCTCCAGGCTCCTCTGTCCATGGGGATTCTCCAGGCAAGAATACTGGAGTGGGTTGCCATGCCTTCCTCCAGGGGATCTTCGCGACTCAGGGATCGAACCGTGTCTCCTGTGGCTTGGGCAGTGCAAGTGGATTCTTTACCACTGAGTCACCCAGGAAGCCCACCAAGTATCCTAGGGGTACCTTATATTACTGTGATGCTTCAGTGTATGAATGTTCATTCTAATTATATATATTTGAGATTATACTTTGTTTGCTTTCTGTAGCAAGATAACGGTTAATCTCAAATAAATCAACATGGATTCTACAGGCTTTTGTTCTCATTCTTTAATTAGCTAATCAGTTAAAGTCATCCTGCATAAATAGCCACTTTATTCAAGTGTGGCTCTCTGAAGTGTAAATGTAACTAACTTGGGTGGGAAGGGTTAAATAATAAACAGTAGCCAGGTGTGATTTTGTAGTTAGATTGTATTTGGAAATTCTGTATTGTACCTACCTGTTCCTTACTTCTCATTCACTAGAATTTGGTCCTTAATTTTCTCCTTCTCTCCTTCAACAGGATCTCTTGAGCCGTCTCCTTCACTATCATGGGCTTCCACTACCCACTATACACTGACAGTTTATAAATCACAGCTCCAGCTGTGTCTGGCGAGTTTCAGACCTCTGTTGCCATCTTTGCAATGTTCATCTCTCTTTCTCAACAGAAATATCCACTTGCATGCATCTAATGTGACCGTGTACCCCAGTGTGCCTGGATTTGTCCCAGTTTACAGGGTTATCTGCCATCCCCTCTGATCCATGCCCCCTTTCACTACAAAAGTGCCAAGTTTGCACAATACATGTGTCAGATTTGGTCACTATACACGCGCTAGCCTGAATTCATCACCCATCTGTCTTCTATTCCCTGTAGAGATGAATGAACCACCACTTAACACAGAAATGCTAACAAGAAGCCTAGGCACCAAGGACAAACCTTACCCTCTACTCTAGCGGTCATCACTTCCAGTCAGTTCTACTTCCTCAATATAATTTTTCTTCTCTCTGTCCCTCTTGCCATTGAAGTGTTATGGAAGAGTGTTAACACCAGGCTTTTCCAATCTCAGTTCATCCACTTACATGATTACAGCAAGTTACTCAACCTCACATTCTTTACCTATTAATGAATGAGGGTGAAAACACACAGACACACAGAAATTTTCCATGAATGGATCTATGAGAAATACATATCATACATATTATAGCATGACCTAACAAATACTATATGGCTACTAGCTACAATTCAAACTGTAACATAGTTCACTTGGATTACTTCAATTATAAGTCATAAATCTTCCTTCCAAAGTTGCTACCTTCAAATTCTGCTACACAGTTAACATTATATCATAGCAGTTTCTGTCAGTCTATTATTTAAAATGATTCAGTAACTTTCCATACTCATTGAGATAGAAACTTGAAATTTAAAAATCCTACAGTGGGATATCCTTGGAAGTCCAGTGGTCAGGACTCCTGCTGAGGGCACAGATTCAACCCCTGGTCAGGGAACTAAGATCCTTCATGACATGCAGTGAAGCCCCCCAAAAATAAAAGCCTCCATGGTCTTTGGTAGTCTGTCCCTGACTTCTGCAGCCTCATCTCTTCCTGAGATTACAGAATAGCCTCTCAGCTTCCACCCAGTCCCTCGTAGGCTCCCATGGATGATCCCTTGACTACAAGAATACAATCCCCTTCTCCACCTGACTAGATTAATTTCATCCTTCACAGTGCAGCTAAGGCATGTCATCATCTTCCCTCTAAATTCTTCTCTCACCTCATCCTCCCTCCAGTTCTCTCCCCAGACTCGTATTTCTTTTCCATGCCCCAAAACACCCCTCAGATACCTCCATCAGAGCAGTCATCAAATTCTTATATAATGATCTAACCACCTGTTAACCAGCCCTAAGCGATCTAAGCTCCTTAAGAACAGCTGTTTTGTCTCTCATTTTGTTTTACAGTCAACTCAGCATAAATCAGGCACTTAGGACACACTCTGCAATTAATTTATTAAATGAATAAATGATGTCAGGAGTTGACATCAAGGCTAACTTCAGTGCAGCAGCCATTAGATCCTTTACCTTTTAATCAAGCAGATAAAACATTTCATACTGCTATTTTCTAAATGCCTACTTTTCTAAACCATAAATACAATATAAACAATTTAGGATCAACCTCTTGTGCTTTATGTTGGCAGTCTCCTACAGTACCACTTTCTAAAGAGTCTGCGGGAAGGTAAATTGCATTGAATGTAACATTCCTTTATAAGCTCAGTCCTGTACTGTGGAATACCACCACCACTTCACTAGCCACTGTCTGATTACCTAATTCAGAACCAGAGAGCAGACTCAAAAAAACGGAACCAAATGCCGTTTACCCATGAATGGCTCTAAGTGGGCAGCAGCTAACGTGTCCTTGTATTTCTGCTTGCAGAGGATATATTCCCGTGCAAGTCCTGTGGCATCTGGTATCGCAGTGAGCGGAATCTGCAAGCCCATCTGATGTACTATTGCAGTGGAAGGCAAAGAGAAGCTGCACCAGTGTCAGAGGAAAATGAGGACACTGCTCCTCAGATTTCCAGCCTGTGTCCCTTCCCACAGTGTACCAAGAGCTTTTCGAATGCCCGAGCTCTAGAAATGCACCTGACCTCACACAGTGGTAAGTGCCTCTCTTGTTTCTTCTGCTCTTGGAGACCCTGTTCTTTCTCTACATACATAATATGTACACTCACACATATTGTGCATACATACATTCATATGTCTCTTTCTGCCTATAAAATCAAATTAAATTTGCTAAACCAGGTAGTTATTACCTTTTGTCACGTACAATCGGTATATTCTGTTCAAAGGACGTGGGTCTGAATTCTTCTCTAAAGACTTACTGTGCTCAGTTTACAGGCCAAAGCACTCTATAGTTGTTTTTTTTTTTTCCGACTAAAGTCAAATAGCATGAGTTTTAGAAATCACAATACCCTTTGTATATTGTCATCAGTATTCATTCATGTGTCAGGTGATCTTTGCAAACTTACCATACACTGTTTCCCACACAGCAGGGACTCAATAGCAGGTACATAAAAATATTTGTATTTTTACATATTTTACATAAAAAGTATTTTCTGAATGGAAATAAAGCTTTTATTTTAAAAGATCCAATTAAAATCCCACTTGAGAGAAATTAACTTTTAAATATGGATCTGTAAAAGGTTCTTGACTTCTAGAGTGCATGATAACAACATAGTTGAATTTTTGACAGAAAAACACTTTTAGTGCTATGTTTTAAAACTTCTTAGGAAAAATTAGCCTGCAAAACAGTTTTCTTTTTTCCCTTAAGAGCAAGGTGGCAGCTATTCCTATTTTTTTTATTAATTTTTATTGGAATATATATGCTTTAAAATGTTGTGTGTCTACTCAGCTGTATCTATACACATATCCCCTCTTTTTTACTATTCCCATTTATTTTGGAATTGTATGCCCAATTATTGTCAGTATCATCTCATAGTATTCTAATTCTTATATTTTAAAAATAATTGAAGTGAACCAAATGTACATAATTACATTAATTTTAGGTATTTTTTCAAACATTCTTGGATAGGGCAAATCAAGTTTTGGGAATCATAGTTCTTCAGCACATAGAATAGAAAACTTGTTAGACACCCTGGGGTGACTTCCTTCACTGTTTTTGCTTCGGTTGAATAATTAAAAACTAAAATAGGTGCTCAGTTTAAAAAAAAAAACAAACTAACTCCAACCTACAATACTGTAGTACTGTGCAAGCTTTTGTCTTTGTACCCATAAAAATAGGCAATTTTCTTTTTACTCATTCTCTACCTTATCCCTGCAAATGAGCTGTCTTTATGTAGGTGATAAACCAGGGGACAGAGAAACAGGTTGGTTGTCTCACACAGTGAGTGCAAAGTCATGCACAAAACAAAAATAGGAGATAGAGAGATTTTTCCAGCTCCATAGAAAAATGAGTCCTGGATTAGCTAAGGAGAAAAGGAGAAAAATAAAAGAAGTCCTCTTTTATCACTATAGGACTGGGTGTTGTCTGCCATATTTTCATTTTCTGAATATAGAAGGTATTTCTCATTTTAGTGTAGAGTGCAGAGAACAGAAGCAAACCTGCCTTAACTATATGACAACAAATGGGACAGGAGTTGACCTTATTGAGTAAAAGTATCTAGGTCCCAATTCCAATTCATAGGGGAGTGGTTTCCCCTGCCTCCCCACACCGCCCCCTCAAGTAATTCTTTAGACACCAATTGGATGTCCTGAAATTCAACTCCACTCAATTCTGATACTACCGAGATAGCATTAAATTCCACAGATTAAGGGATCAGTTCTACAAGAGTGACCCCCTTCACTCTCATCCCAATTCAGACCAGTCTACTGTGCTCCTGACCAGCTAGCTGTAAATCAGAGATTGCCATGGCACCCCCTTGGTTTGACTGATTTGCTAGAGTGATTCACAGAACTCAGATAACACATTCTCACTAGATTACCAGTTTATTTTAAAAGGATATAACTCAGGAACAGCCAGATGGATGAGATGAATAGGGCTAGGTTTGAGAATGGGCAGGGAGGCTTCATTACGTAGGCATGATTGATTAAGTTATTGGCCATTGGCAATTGAACTTCATCTCCAGCCCTTCTTCCCAGAAGTGGAAAGCAGTGGAAGTTCTGACCCTTCACTCACAGGGTTGGTTCTTCTGGCAACCAGTTTCCATCCTTAGGTTACCTAAAGGCTTTACAAAAGTCACCTCATTAACATAACAAAGACATATTTATCACAAGAAATTCCAACAGTTTTAGAAGCCTTGAGCCAGGAACCAAGGGTAAAGACCAGATGCATAGGCAAAATAGATTTTCCTCATCTGAGTGACCAAATATACATTTCCTGTAAGTCACAATATTGCATTGAGATTTACCCACCAGTCAGTGGTGATATTCAAAATCTTTAATAACTGACCAGAAACAAGCCATGATCAATCAGCACAAATGTCAGTCTGAAATGACTATATTAGTATACTAATATAGTTGAACATACTAGTAAATATCAGCTGAATATCAGCCCTGGATAAAGATAACCCATATTAAGCAAAACCATGAAATTCTAAATTTGTACCAAAGATAAATTAGGATGTTATTAATTACTTAACAAAATGATTTCTGTTTGGATTCTGTTGTATAAAGACCTAATTCTAGCGCATTAAGTGCACTAAGTTATTTAGTTTGCATACAGGTTGTCAAATAAATACCTGCCTGTTCCTACTGTAGAGCGCAGTGGTTTGGTAAGAAGCCTATTGGATTAGAAATCATAAAATCTGAGGTCTGGGCATGGCTTCATCACTGAATTTATTAGATAATTATTTAGATTTATTACCATAATCAAATCCTTTAGCCTCCTTGAATTTGTCTTCTGACCTGTAAAATTAAAACAGCACCGCCCATCCCACTACAATGTGATAATGCTCATGAAAGTGCTTTAGAAAGTATTGACTACAGTTTATTATTATCACATATGGTGAAAGGTATCATAGGAAAAAAGTTAATATCACAAATGAGATTCTGCAAGATTTCAGTTCATTTCTGCTGTGTTGAAGACATGAGGTCATTAGTAACGGTTCGTATCACCAGCAAACCAAAATGTGTGGTTCTCAGTATTCTGCTTTTGTATGTTTCTCCAGGAGTGAAAATGGAAGAATTCCTCCCCCCTGGTGCTAGTCTCAAATGCACCGTCTGTAGCTACACTGCTGATTCTGTGATCAACTTTCACCAACACCTGTTCTCCCATCTCACTCAAGCTGCCTTCCGATGCAATCACTGCCACTTTGGCTTCCAGACTCAGAGGGAGTTATTGCAGCACCAGGAGCTCCATGTCCCTGGCAGCAAACTGCCCCGAGAAAGTGACATGGAACACTCTCCAAGTGGAACCGAAGACAGCTTACAGCCAGCCACAGACTTGCTGACCAGAAGCGAACTCCCCCAGAGCCAAAAGGCCATGCAGACTAAAGATGCGAGCTCTGACACGGAGCTGGACAAGTGTGAGAAAAAGACTCAGCTCTTCCTCACTAACCAGAGACCCGAAATTCAGCCTACAACCAATAAACAAAGCTTTTCTTACACGAAAATAAAGTCTGAGCCCTCTAGTCCAAGACTCGCCTCATCTCCAGTTCAGCCTAATATTGGGCCTTCTTTCCCCGTGGGACCCTTTCTATCGCAGTTTGCTTTTCCCCAAGATATCACAATGGTCCCTCAAGCGTCAGAGATCTTGGCCAAGATGTCTGAACTGGTACACCGGCGCCTGAGGCACGGAAGTAGTAGCTACCCTCCCGTCATTTACAGCCCCTTGATGCCCAAGGGGGCTACCTGTTTTGAGTGCAACATAACCTTCAATAACTTGGATAATTATCTAGTGCACAAAAAACATTACTGCAGCAGCCGATGGCAGCAGATGGCCAAGTCCCCCGAGTTCCCTGGCGTTTCAGAAAAGATGCAGGAGGCTGTGAGTCCCAGCTCGGGTCAGCCCTCCATCAATCTTCTCAATCCAGCCACTCACTCCTCGGATCCTGAAAATCCACTTCTTCAAACACCCTGCATCAGTTCTTCCGCCGTTTTAGATTTAATTGGGCCAAACGGGAAGGGCCACGACAAGGACTTTAACACGCAAGCTAAGAAGCTCTCCACCCCCAATAGCAATGATGATAAAATGAATGGGAAACCTGTTGATGTCAAAAACCCCAGCGTCCCCTTAGTGGATGGGGAAAGTGACCCAAATAAGACTACCTGTGAAGCTTGCAACATTACTTTCAGCCGGCACGAAACCTACATGGTCCACAAACAGTATTACTGTGCGACGCGCCACGACCCCCCGCTGAAGAGGTCGGCTTCCAACAAAGTGCCTGCCATGCAGAGAACCATGCGCACGCGCAAGCGCAGGAAGATGTACGAGATATGCCTGCCTGAGCAGGATCAGAGGCCCCAGCTGGCCCAGCAGCGCTTTCTGGACGTGGCCAACCTCAGCAACCCTTGCACCTCCGCCCAAGAAGCCACGGAAGGGCTGGGCGAGTGCTACCACCCAAGATGCGATCTCTTTCCAGGGATTGTCTCAAAGCACTTGGAAACCTCCCTGGCCATGAACAAGTGTGTCCCGGCTTCCAAATGCGACACCGCTCACCCCAGCGTCTCCTGCCTGGAGATGGACGTCCCCATCGACCTCAGCAAGAAGTGTTTGTCCCAGTCTGAGCGGACCACCGCGTCCCCCAAAAGGCTACTGGACTACCATGAGTGCACCGTGTGCAAGATAAGCTTCAACAAGGTGGAGAACTACCTGGCCCACAAGCAGAACTTCTGCCCGGTCACCGCCCATCAGCGCGGCGACCTGGCTCCGCTCGACAGCAAAGTGTTTCCCAATCCAGAAAGCGAACGAAACAGCCCCGACGTCAGCTATGAAAGAAGCATCATAAAATGCGAGAAAAATGGCAACCTGAAGCAGCCTTCCCCCAATGGAAACTTATTCTCATCCCACTTAGCGACGCTGCAGGGCCTGAAAGTCTTCAGCGAGGCCGCTCAGCTCATCGCGACGAAAGAAGAAAACAAACATTTGTTTCTTCCCCAATGCCTGTACCCTGGAGCAATAAAGAAGGCCAAAGGAGCCGACCAGCTTTCTCCGTACTATGGAATCAAGCCAAGTGATTACATTTCCGGTTCTCTGGTCATCCATAACGCTGATGTGGAGCAAAGCACAAACGCGGAAAACGAATCTCCCAAAGGCCAGGCTTCTTCCAACGGGTGCGCTGTGCCGAAGAAAGATTCCCTGCCCTTGTTGCCCAAAAATCGAGGCATGGTCATCGTGAATGGTGGACTGAAGCAAGAAGAGCGCCCTGCCGCCAACCCCCAGCAAGAGAACGTTGCCCAGAACCCTCAGCGTGAAGACGGCCACAAGTCTCCCTCCTGGGTCTCCGAGAACCCCTTAGCCACGAACGAGAACGTCTCCCCAGGCATTCCCTCCGCAGAGGACCAGTTGTCTAGTATAGCAAAAAGTGTGAATGGCTCCACCCAGGCGCCCACCAGTGGGAAATACTGCCGGCTCTGTGACATCCAGTTCAACAACCTCTCAAACTTTATAACTCACAAAAAGTTTTATTGCTCATCACATGCCGCGGAACACGTCAAATGAAATCACTAAATCAATGGACATCAGTCACCTTTGGTACCAGTGTTTAGTATGTTGTTCTACCCAGTACAGGAAAAAAAAAAAAAAAAAAAGCTGTTTGAATTACATCCGGGCGATCAGGAGATAATTCATTATGGCTGAGTTGAAGACTTAAGGTGTAATTTCATTACAGTCCATTAGTAAAGTGTATTATTGGTGCCATTTTCCAAAAAAAAAAATTAATTTATTTTACCAGCAGTATTCATAGCTGTGGTTATGTTATTTTTTATTTAAAAACTTTATATTAAAGTCATTTGTAATGTTATTGTATAGTTATTGTGTAGCACATATGGTTTGCACTGTAAGTAGCTTTTGAATAGTCACAAACAATACAGAAGAGCATTTTAGAAATAGCTTCCAAAGCACTTGTGTATCTTGATTTCTTCTTATATGCTGTTGCAGATATATGTATATGCTAAAATATAACTTGCAAAGATGTTCTAAATACACGTGCTATAAGTTCGCCTTAAGATTTCAATTCTTGGATAATCAGGCTCCGTTTGCACTTTATATTTTAGCAGATACAGTCTTTTAGTCACTAGGCTTTGCATTTGTATGTAGCCGTACGTTTCTGTCCATTTTCTTAATCTTAAACATGTATGTTAAATGAAGATGGCGATTTTTTTCTTGTATAGTACTTGTATTTTCTTTCGCTGATGCAGCTCTGTCTCAATTTTTAAACCTTTGCTGTTAAATGCAATACTTTGTAAGAATGAACAAAATTACTGGAAGCAGTATTGTAAGTAATGAAGTAGTATTCATCGGTTTTATCTTTTGAAAGGCACAGTCTAAATCAAAACCCTAAACTCAATGCTGCAAGTATGAATTTAATTCATATATAAGATCTATTTAAATATAAGAGTAGCAATACTGCACCTGGTGATCACAAAGATAATGTTCTACTTCTGATAGAAATAATTTCTCAACAAATGTTGTTACTATGCATGTATATGAATGGAATAAAATTCCAGATTGTTGGAGAAGTCTGGCATACTTTTTTTCTTTAAAATACAAGGGGAAAAAAAATAAAATACAAGGGAAACCCTATATACCTGTTCTTTGTAACATGAGTAGGTTCAAAACAGTACTGGATAAATGTAGTGACATGATGACAAACCAGTAAAGGGAGACGTTGTCCTTTTTATGCACCTAATTAATATAACTTATTATATTAAAATAAACTGGAGACTCCAGGCTCTGGAACTAGAAAAGTTCTTCATTATAAATATATATAAGAAGCACTTTGTGTTCTCTACACCTCCATTCCCAACCCCCTACCAACTGTAGCACAGAAAAAGACTGATTTCATAAATGTCTGAAAGGCTTAGTAAAATCTACCAGAAGAATTGGCACCAAAGTTGGTCGCATGCCCCCAACTTTTAGATGGAGTTTGCCAGATAGAGAGGTTTGTATTTTGAGCAGCAGCAAAGTGGTATGGTAAAGTGACTCTGATGAGTAAAGACGCACGGGTTTCATGCTGGCAATTTGTAAAAGACCCTAGTTTTCACACCTCTCATTTATTCATTCCAAGGGTTTGCATGTTGAGGGGGAATGAAGAGCAGATAGTGTTGGTTAGATCATGGCAGATCTAATGGGCTATCCAGAGATGCTGAGATGTGATTCAGGAGGCAAGATGGTACCGGTTGCACATCAAGACAGATACAGTCTACCACAGTTTGGGAAACATCCCCAGCTGTTGCCTCACCTGTGGCTAGGACGCACTCTTGGCAGGTAGGTTGTGATGCACTATTCTTCCTCCTTACTGAATTTAGTAGCATACTGAATATAAGGTACTAGTTCCAAACGTAGCTTATAAATACTGTGACAAAACATTAAAAAAAAAAATTATGTGATCAAGAACTTCTCTTCAGTTGCTTGTTGAGAATAATTATTTTCAAATGTAAAATCTTGATCTTAGCTGGTATTTTCCATTTTAGTCAGTGACTAGACAGTGAGGTGAACCAAACTGACATTCTTAGTAGAGTTTTGCAGGAATCTACTCTTAGTAAAGTGTCATGTTCCTTGGGAACCACAGGACTGGCCATGAAGATCTGCTGAGCTCTCAGGTGGAAACCAGCAGGGCTGCGTATTCTTAACAGGACTTCCTTCCCCAATCTCTTCCTTTTCCTTTTTTTCTTTAAAAAGAAAATCTGCCAGGCAACATAATTTATTGATCATGACTAAGACTGTATGCACTATTTTGAGGATGAAGCCAAAGGGGTCTTCCTTCCCCAATCTCTTCCTTTTCCTTCTTTAAAAAGAAAAGAAAGTCAGCCAATCAACATCTCTTTATTGATCACCTAGAACTGCATCCCCTATTTTGAGCATGAAGCCAAAGAGGCATGAAACACAGTAGCTTCTCTAAAGGAGTTTGTCATCTGGCTCAGGTTAGTGTTTTCCAACACTATTCCTTCATTTGAATCACTTAGGGAATATCTTTAAAATGCCGACATATATATATATATATATATATATATATATATATTTGGTACATTGGGCTACACACTAGATCAATTTTAAAAGTATCCTGTCTGTAGGTCCTGGGAATCTTTTAAAATTCTTTTCAAATGCTTCTAATATGTGAGAATGTTGGGAGATACTGAATGGTAAATTAGGGCAGCGTGTAAAGACGGAGGGAGATTAAGGGGCATAGAAAGACAGAAAAAGGGAAACTGATACGGGAAAGTTGGGGAAGACTCTATGGACAGGGTAGGATCTAAAAAGGTGGGTGAAATGATAAGGAAAGCTACGTCATTTTCGGAGCCCTGAAATACCTGTGCATTATATCCAAAAGAATATTTCAAATACTATTTGTGTAGTTGAAAATAACTTCTAATAGCCATTCACAGAAGGAAATAGCATTGGTTGAAATAGTGTCATTTGGACCAGAACCAGACCCTGCAGAGTAGAGAGGAAAATAAAGGTATTTGTATATATGAAAGTAAAAGTCACTCAGTGATGTCCAACTCTTTGCAACCCTGCCAGAATCCTCAGTTCATGGAATTCTCCAGGCAAGGATACTGGAGTGGGTAAGCCATTCCCTTCTGCAGGAAATCTTCCCAACCCGGGGATCAAACCTAGGTCTCCCACATTACAGGTGGATTCTTTACTATCTGAGCCACCACAGAAGCCAGTGCCTCAGAGGTGAAGAATCTGCCTGCAATGCAGGAGACACAAGAGATGCTGGTTTGATCCCTGGGTCTGGAAGATCCCCTGGAGATGGAAATGGCAACTCTCTCCAGGAAATCCTGCGGGCAGAGGAGGAGCCTGGCAGGCTATAGTCTATAGGGTTGCAAAGAGTCGGACACGACTGAGCAACCAAACCCAGGACCCTGTGAGGCCCTCCTGCACACAAAAGCCTTTTTATGTCCCTCATTTGTACACATAGAGGTCTTTATAAATGATAGCATGAACGTAGCATGTGAGGGCGAAGAGTGAATGAATTTTTTTTGAAGAAGAAAACCACTCAGATTGGAAAATTAAAGAAAATAAAGGTATAAATAAGAATCTGGTGTCATAAGACCTTAAATGCCAGGCTGAGGCTTATGGGCTTACCGTGTACTTTGCTTCTTAGAGTCATGAAATGAAAATCAAGTTTAGAAATGTGGTTGAGTGAGTGTGAGGCCTAGATGCTAGAGAGGCAGATTAGTTAGAAGGCCATAGTGATGGTCTAAATGGGGGTAGTGAGAGTCTACACCAGGAGAGTTGAGAAGGACGGGTCTGGGTCTGGATTACTTGAAGACAAAATCACATAAAAAACCAAAGATCTTCAGTCCTCACTGATAGAATGCCCCAGGTTCAACAAGACAAAATGTAGGTCAAAATATTAGCACCAGTTGAATGGTGTGGGGAAAGGGTGATAAAAGGGTGATGGTTTATATTTGTTCTCCAGATTGTTCTGTAGTTAAATCTTCTATGGAATACTAAAACCTACTACCTCAGCATATCTTAGAGTGAGACTGGATTTCTGAAGACTTTTGGCAGAACAACCATAGGATATTCTATGTTATTCTCCCTTGAGCACAAGATGAGAATCATTGAATTAAATGTAGTGGTATTCTGTAGTGGTATCAGAAGTGGTATTCTGTGGTCAATATCAAAATAAACTAAACTGGCAGCAGAATTTATTACACAGTTGGTCTTCAAAGTGTTGCTGTCTGATATGTAACCCATTTGAGTGTGTAAAACTATTATAATTTTCAAATAATTCAACATATGGCTTTTAATATTGAAATTAAAACCAAAAATCTAGTCATAATGGAATCTGTAAGCAATATCTGAAAATCTTTTAATCAGGTGGAACCTTTTCATTTTCAGGCAAAAATAAGGGTTGGAGATTTTAAACACCCAAAGTCACAAAGCTAATGGGTAAGAGTCAGAGACCTGAGTCCTGTCCTCAGGTTCCCTCCCCTCATCACTTTCCTTTCACCACTAAAGCAGATGGAAACACAAGGCAAGCGGGCAAGTAACTAAAATTCCAGCTACTTTTCCTTTCTCTTACACACTTAAGTCTAGCTCACATGTTCTCTGGAGATAAGGAAAAGTGAGAACGTTTGTTTCTCATGACTATTGTAACAATTACCACAGACTAAGTGACTTAAAACAAGAGAAATGTATTCTTTTTGGCACTACAATATACTCCATGTCTCAGAATACCTAATTTCACAACCCATTCCTACTGACCTCATATCATATTACTATTTTCCTCAACCTCACCCCAGAGTCAGTTATTTTCCCAAAGGATCCAGATTCCTTTTATTGGAGGATGGTATTTAGAAGCCTAGATCTTAACCCTAGGTTTGTTTATTGCTACTGAACATCCCTGCTTTTAGACTATCTCAGCAAATACAGTTAGGATGTATGGGTGTATAGCAACCAATATATGTACATTTTCCTATATCTATCTCTGTCGTTGTGGTACAGTTGCCAAATCATGCTGACTCTTCACGAAATATGTATTTCTA